TTTCATTCCGCACACAGTTTCTCTGTCAAGCCATGATGTCTGTCTCACCTGTAAACAAGTTTCCCTCTGCCTCAGCCAGGCCCATAGTTCAAGAGAAATGCCCACAGCAAAAGTATACTCTTCCCTTCCTTTCTGCTGCTTCTTGATTCTGACGTCTACTACCTAATTCCTCATCTCTTAGTTTCAGAGACCTACACCAATACCCTTTTTCTATGTTCTTGTTCTACAGATACCTCAGAGGAGCTCTAGATCTTTGATCTCTATAGACTGAAGAAAGCATATTTTCCCTGGACTTTTGTTTCACTAGCCCAAGATGTTTTCTACCAAATTCAAGATATTCTGGTTAATAATTCTCCACAGATATACTGCAAAGACAACTGACCCCATTCTTCCTTCTTGCAGTATATTAATGGGGATACAGTGGGTTCACTGAGCCTTGGGGGGGGCGGGGGGATCTTTATTTCAATATTTCTGCTCCAGATTATGACCTCCATACTGTATAAACACAGTTCAAAAGACATCAGACCAAAAATATCAACTGTGGTATACAAAGGTGATCTGGAATGTGAGAAATGCACTTTATTTTGCCCTTTTTGAAAGCCTGGCTCTGATCTTATGTTGTGTCTGCACATTTAGATTCCGTGCATTATCTGTAAAAATAGAAATTAATTTTGTAATAATATATGGCATCCACTTTCAGACAATGATTTCATCAGAGTACTTGTACTGAGGACAGAGCACTCAGATTTCATTATCCTCACAAATGTACACTGTAAGATATTTACTGCTATAATACAAAGTTGTTATGAGGAAACAGCACTAAATAGTGTATTTTATATTCCATTTTTTTTCTATTACATGCACTGATTTACTTGCTAATTTGAGAAAATTAGGAGCTCTCAATGCTTCTTCAAGCTATCAATGCAAATTGGCAAGTCTTTATGTGACTCAGAATGGGTATCATTAAATCTTGCCCAAGCAGTAATGAAGAACACAATTTAAAAAAGCAGAGGGATTATTAGAGCACTCAGAAAACCAAACAAACTACTACATAGCTTGTTTTAACCTTATTTTAGAGCAGGCTTTCAAGGAACTATAAGCACACGGTACCAGTGATCTGAACTACACATCCTCCGAACTCAAAACAATTAGAACCCAATGCATTAGGGAGACTGCCCTGCCCACACCTGCACTGAAGGCATAGTCTTTAATATCCATATACCTATACCCACACATAGCTATACCCATGGAAACAGAGCAAACAGATGTATCATCTCTTTCTTGAGTATGTCTCCTTCCTGAGAATGCATGAGGGTTACCAAATTCTCCTGTAATGAAAAACCTCCAATTGTAAATTCAAACGAACCATATCTATTTTACTTTAAAAGCCTCCAGAAACCATTTAAGATTGTATTAAAAGATCACTGAAATTACCAAGGAAGATGAGACAGCTGACATCTAATGCAAGTGTTGACATTCAGCAAATGCTTACTTGTAATTACTCTTCAGGATGTAATTACCAATCAACACAATCAGCAGACTGCCCAGACCAGGCCAGTTGTCTCCCATGTGTCTCCATTTTGTTGCATGTATTTTTGGCTTGGGGTTTTCATAGACCTCTCTTGCCCAATTTTGGTTGATATTACGGTAACAAAAAGATGTTTAGTCAAGGCTGCACTGAAAATCAAAGCAGTTTGGCTTTTTTTCTGCAGAAAAAGTTTTATCACACTTCTGTAACTATGTTTCCCAAGTAACACTTGGAAGATTCTGTGCACAAA